TTGGGCTAAAATAGTTTTGGTCCATAAGGTTTAATTAAAAGCCTTAAGATATTTTGGTGGGAGGATAAGCATCAATCATATTGGATAAGGATGAATGTTTTAAAGATAATGATTAAAAGTCCATATGTAAATAACTCCTCATCCTTGTCCTTGGAGGATAAGGAAGCAACAACCTAGAGTCCTAAAAGGGACTTAATGTCGTCCCTTTCCTTGTCCTTGGAGGACAAGGAAACTCTCCTATAAATAGAAATTTCGACTCGCCCTAAATAATCACTAGGGTACATGACCAAGAGAGAAAAACAAATAGGAAAAAATAGTTTTCTCCAAAACCCTAGCAAACCACACTCTTTCCTTCTCTTTTAAGGTTGTCGCAAAATTATCCAAGATTGATTTTCTATAAGAAACACTACATAAATCAAAAATTTTTAGAGCTAACTCCCTATCGATTTTGAGTGCTTCTTTGTGAATACTTGGACTACATGGATCGTCAATAGAGGCGGGCTACTTGGGTGGCTTTTCCGATAAATGAATATAAATCTACACTTGTAAGAGTTAATCCTTTATTTATTACTTTAAATTCATGCATGTATGGTTAGTAGATTCAACAACTTGATCTTGGGCCCTTAAATGGAGGAAAATTTTTGTTTATTCCGGATCTTTATAGGATGCATGATCTTTCGATCGGGACTTTAATTGGATCTAATGCTAAATTGACAAGACTCTAAAGCTTAGAGCCCGATGTTAACTTAATACAATTCCATGATTAAAAAATAAAACTCATTCTTTGAATTTAGACAAATAAACTTAAAAATAATTTAAAGAAAAAAAAATCAATTTTTGCATTTGCATTTTGATTTGACACACTTAATTAATTAGATCGTTCCTCGACATACCAATCATGTCAAAACGGAATTGGATCGGATATTAAATTGAAGCCACTCTCTACCTTAGGGTCCGATGTCAATTTAATACGATGCCACAAATAAAAAAATAAAAATTAGTTTGACTTAGATGACAAATAGACTAGGAAATAGACTTAGGAAATAGTTCAAAAAAAATATAATTCTTAAGAGATATTTTTAGGATTAAACCAAATATGGTACCGTTATTTAGAAATAGCGCTTTTGGGTGGTTATTATCTTCCCAAAAACTTAACCAACTCCTTAACAAAAATCTTTGAATCTAGTACCTTTTTATTTTTTAATTTCTAGTTACTTTTAATACTAGGTGATGACTTCAAATCTTTTTACCTTTTTCATAAATTTGGAAAGTCTCTCAAATATCGGATAGCGATATTTATTAGCAAATAAAATGATATATGAAAAATTTTTAATTAATTTCATGAGAATTTTTATAAGAAAAGATAAATAAAAAAATCAATTTTAAACAATAAGAATAATATAATTCGATATATATATTCAATTGAAAAAGATAAAATAATTATATTTAAAAATTTTATTTAAAAATTTATATATAGAGAAAAATAAATTATATTTGCTAACAAAAAAAAATTTATATAGCCGGTATCGACGGTTAAAGTAGTGAAAATAAATTTTGTCATGGATTTCTCTATCTTTTCTTCTTTATCTTTGTTTTATCAACATTTGGAACCAAATTACAATATCAAAAAAAGTAAAAAATCGAAATAAATAATTTAGAAAAAATAGAAATCAAAATGTAATAGTTATCAAAACTTTCATATAAATACCTAAACATAAAACTAAAATTACACAAATATCATATCATATCAAATGCCTAAATAAAGCTTAAACATCACAATAATATCATTTAATATAATAATATTAAATGAATAATACTTATGAGGGTAGATAAATAATGAGGGAATTGTATAATAGGTGTAGATAAATAGGAAATGAGTAGTAATTACTCCATATCTTATAAGTTTTTTTTTATTTTTTAATAATATATAATAAACCGTGTCGGCTGCGGACGATATCATGCTTTTGAACGCGTCTATTAAAACATAGTAACAAACACATACTTCTTAACAAAGGGTTTGTTCTTTAAGGAAAAACATATAGTAAGTTTCTTTAGAAGTCAATGTACTTACCATATGAGTCAAAAAATACTCCTCTAATTTCAGAGCCTAGATAGAGACTTTGTATAGTAATGGGTTTTTCAGTGGAAGAAGAGGACCTGTCTGACCCACCAGCCACTTGTTGAAACTTTTGTATACGGTAGAGGACAAACCGGCCTCCCCAGTCAAATCACACCTTCTAGATTGTTTCAACTTACATGTATGGGATGACTCAAAATTAGGGAAGAAGTTTTAGAAAAAAAAAAACCCCACATCATATTCCCACTCAATTGACTAGATATTTGGAATAATTGTGAGAATCAGATCGATGGATAATCAGATCGTTTCAATTTTAAGGGCATTTTGACAGCAAAAGAAAGTTTTTATAATATTTTCAAACTTTTTGATGATCTTTTTCATTTTATAATATTTTAAAAAGCTTATTATAAGTTATTCTAAATCTAATTCTCCTCGATTTATCTTTGCCTTTATTTTTTATTTTATTATATTAAATGTCAGTTTTTTTTTTTTTTTTTTTTTGGGATAAACCAAGGAAATAGAAAAGGAGCCTGCGGTCCGAACGGCAACCCAGGACAGATTAGGAGTTTATGAGGAAGGCCGGGCTTGGACTCTAGACAACAAAACAAGACGAAAGATATTACTATCTTTTTTAACTATAAATATTTTTAAGATAAATGATCCTTGAACATGACATATAAAAAGATAAATAAGTTTTCTAACATGCAACTGGGAGAGTTGATTTTGTAGATTTAGCATCTATATATACATTTTTCTTTCATATACTCATTCGTTTATAAAATATCTTTTTCTTTCTTTGAAAAAATTAGGATGAAAATTAATTAATCAAATTCATGTACCAACTTAATTATTAATTGATCTCTATACCAATTTAATTTGTTTAATATGAGCTCTTTATTACAGATTCTACTAGTGGTATTAAATAAATGGCATAATCATAATCAAACATCACATGTCATTTATTCATGTTGACCCTATTAATTATTTTTTTTCTAATTTTTTATTACAGAAAGCATTTATTGATTATCAAAAATATTTTAATACAGATTCCTTTTTTTGAATTTCAATAATTTTTTTCTATAATAATAAATAGATAGAAAAATAGCTAATCAAGTCGATGAGATCAAATAACACATTTTATTTGATTGTGCAATTTACTTAATGCTATTGGCAAAATCACTAATAGAGAGCTTACACTAAATAAATTGATTCAACACAAAATACAATTAACTCTTAACTTGGTACAGGAACTTGATTTTTCTTTTACTGACATGAAATTTTTATCTTTAAAAATTTTACAATTAAAATATTTATTTAACGGACATGTTTATGTTAAGTATACCCATAAGAAAAGTTATACTTGACAATCTAACAAATTAAGGTGCTGGTTATGTGTCATTAGATTTCCTTATTAAAAAAAAAAAAAAGTGGCTAGTGATGTATAGCACCTTCACTTGATATCAAGGCATTATTTACATTGGCTAAAAACATTAGGTATAATTTATTTATTTTTTTTTTTTGATATTACAGTTAATTGGATACTTTCAAATGAGCTTTTAATTTTTTTAATTCTCATATTTAGGATCCTAAAACTAATATATTAAGATTTAAATTTACGATCTCTTATTGTAAGAGATCACTCGTTTAGGTCACAAACTCTTTGGTTAATTAAGAGTAAATCCACTAGTCACTGGGCTGGATCATTTAAAATCTATTAAATAAGATGACATCTCTTGTAAGTTATTTTCATTTTAGTAGTTTTGATTTTGGTGTTATAAGGTGAGCGTATTTGAGAGATGTAGATGGACAGAGGTTGGCCCTTGAACGACCTAGGACTGACACCGCCTATGTTCTAATAGGAACCCATCGTGCTTGAATTTCAGAACACGGGCTAGCCCAAAACAATCCGTTAGTAGGCTTATGGACTGATCCACGGAGCAAGGAGGCACAACCCACTTGTTAATGAGCAATAAAATTGCTTGTTGTTCTCCACTGGGGTGATACACTCGCATTGCTATGGGGTTCGAAAGTTACATTTATTTTTTAGGTAGTTTTTTGAAGAAATAAATTATATTTTTTTGAAGTATTTTGGCTATTATAATTAATTAACAAGCCGTTTGTGTTACGACCAATTGTAAGAATAAAATTCAATATGAGGACTTTGGTAAAAAGGAAATGTTTTTAAGCGAGTGAACAAATGCCTATCCCTGCATCCAATTGTTTGGTTGCTTAGGATCACAAAAATACTGCATATTTCTGAAAAAACACACTCCAGCACCGAGGGGTATTTTGTGGTGATAACTGTGGAAAGTGGCACTGTTAGAGACTAGGGTTCAATCGCTAGCATTAAATTTGGATGTACTATGGTTAGGTTGGAAAAACGAAAGAAGGTTTTATAAGGTTGAGCATCCCCATGGCCTATGGTTGACTGAGTTGTTTTGTTCTACTGTGGTCAGATCACGGAAATGTCATTTTTGTCCGACAGAGAAAAGGAAAAAGACAAAAGCGCACACCAATTAGGATGGAGCACTATTCGGTTAAAATTAAAAAATCAAATCGAACCGAATTTGTTCAAAAAATTTGAAAACAAACAAAAATAAAAATTATTTAGGTTTGATTTTTTTTTTTTTTTTTAAATTCAGTTTCCACCGAAAATCGAATTTTACACTTTCCAAATAATCCCTTACCAGTTAGGACATCCAGTTCTGTACTAGTTACCCCTAAATCCCTAATATCTGCTATCTTCTTTTCTCTAGCCAAAACACAAAAAACCTTCCCGTAGTCTCATTCCGCCGTTCATCACAGTTCACACATAATTGACGCCTAACAGCTCGTCAACCACACCCAGTCACCGACAACCACCCAGCCCTTACCCACCACCCAATCCAACCCAAAAGAAACAAAAGTTAGCTCTAGACTCCAGTCATCCGTCCTCCTCCTCCAGACTCCAGTCCTCCTTAGGCTTCAGCTCAATTCCCACGACCTTCTTGCTCCTCCTTCTCGTTCCCACAGCCACAGGCCACATTCCAATTGTCAACCCAATTCGCCAGTTCCCATTTTCCACGACCACGGACACAATAAGATCTTTGAAGAGCTTTTTTTTTCCTTTATTTCTTTTTTGTAAATGTGATATGGTGTCATTATCTCTGTCTCTCTAATGGGTATGCTCCTGCATTAATTTATCTAGAATATGCATCTGTCTCTTTGAGAAAAACAATAAATATATGGTGACCTAATTCCCTGTTGGTATGAATTGGATGATCAATGAAGCTCGATGTTCACTAACCAAACCCCATTGCAATTCATAGAGAAGCAGACTTTGGTTCGCCAATGTAGTAAGAGATAGCATGGTTTTACCTGGATTACTCTTAAGACTCTTGGACCCTGTTTCTTAATCTAATAACTATTCAAAATGAAAAATTTTAAGCTATGTCATTATCTGCCTTCTCATCTCCCCTCTAGAGCAGTCGATAATTGCAGACATTTCTGTAATGGGAGAGCAGAGCTTGTTCAAACAATCTATCTGAAAGCATAATGTTCCATCAGAAGAGGGTTGTGTGATGTGTCACTGGGCTTTGGCGATCCCTAGTGGCTATTGATGATTTTCTATCTATTTAATTAGTTATGATGAATTAGCAGTATTTGTAATGTTTTGTGATATTTTCATTTGATGAGAACGAATTACTCTAATAACCAAAAATTCAAATGAGCTAGAAACAGAGATAAAAAAGCTCATTCATTGTCATGTCGGCACCAAAGAAAAGTTACTCATATGTATGTATATATATATATGACATAAAATAACTTGTACTGATATGATCCTACTTCTTTCTCCATGCAACTTGTACGTTTTTACCTCTTTTTTTATCTCATGGCTTAATTATCAATAAATAGAATAACAATATATAAACTCACAAACCTAAATTAATTTCTTTTGTGTAAATGTAGCAACCCAAAGAAATTGTGAGTTCAAGCAATGAACCACTAAGTGTAGCTCAAACAAACACACAAGAGGATAGGAGAATAAAGGGGAAACTAATAAAGCCAATATCAATTGTGTGAGATCTTTTCACCAAGTTTGAAGATGTAAATAAAGAAATCAAAGCAAGATGCAATTATTATGATAAGTACTTGCTGCTCATCCTATAAAAAATGGCACCACTACACTTAAGTCTCATATGACTATATTTAAAAAACATCCCTATAGTGTTAAGACTTCACAAACTCAATTAAACCTTCACTCAAATGCTCAAGGAGCAATCACTCTTAGCACATGTAACTTTGATAAAAAATGTTTTAGCTTACATGATCATCGTAGATGAACTTCCATTTAAATTTATGGAGGGTATGAGATTTCAAAAGTCCATGTCCGTTGCATTAACTAGATTCAAAATTTCATCACGATTTACAATTTCAAGAGATTGCTATCAACTTTTTGTAAATGAGAGATTAATATTAAAGCAATTCTTAAAAATGAATTCTCAACGAGTTTGTCTTACTACGAACATATGGTCATCTATTCAAAGAGTCAATGATATGTGTTTAATGACCTATTTCATTGATAATAATTGAAAGTTGCACAAAAAGATCTTAAATTTTTATCTGGTTGATAGTCATAAGGGTAGATTTAGGCAATGTCATTGAGAAATGCTAAATTGATTGAGAGATTGAAAAGGTTTTACTATTATAATTGACAATGCAAGTTCGAATGATGTGAAAATTAGACACTTAAAAAAATATTATTAAGAATTGGGGTCATAGTATATTAGATGGAGAATTCCTTCATGTGAGGTGTGTGACACATATTTTGAATCTTGTTGTTGTTGATGGGTTGAAACATGTTGATTCTTTATGTATGTATTAACATACTAATAGAAAGAGTAACCTTTTCTATTTGGACTTCAAATAGTTTAGCTTTAACCACGTTAATGGTCCCACGTTATTGATCCTTCGTGTTCGAGCGGTCGTGAGGTATGTGAGACAATCTCCGATTAGGTTGAAAAAAATTTAAGGAATGCATTGAGATTGAAAAGATTGATTGTAACGAGTTTGTTACATCTAGATGTTACAATTAGGTTGAATTCAACATATTTGATGTTAGATGCATCTCAAAAATTTGAGAGAGTTTTTAAGAGATATGAGCAAATTTATCCTTTATATAGATGTGAACTTGATGTAGATCATGATGAAGATGTATTTGGACTACCTAATGTCAATAATTGGATGGCTTGGAGAAAGATGGTGACCATGTTGAAACCCTTTTATGACCTTACATTGCTTATTTCGGGTTCTTTGTATGTCACTTCTAATACTTTCTTTGAAGAGATTTATGGAGTTGAATATGTTTTGAGAAATAGCAACAAAGTTCGAGGTTGATGATTTTTTAATGGGTATAAGAATGAAAGAAAAGCTTGATAAGTCTTGGAAGACGTTAAAAAAAAACAAGTTGATTTATATTGCAACAATTCTTGATCCCGGGCATAAATCTTGATTTGTTCAATATTTTTTCAATGAATTTTATGGTAAATTGAATGATGAAATGATGATAAATATTGTAAGGGAATCTATAAATGTTACGTATTTTTCATACTGCAAGTCGGTAAGATCTAATATTGACCAAAGTGTTGGGAGAATGGAAGATGCGAATGAAAAAAATGGTTGAGCAAGAGCCTATAGGTGTTGTTTATGAGATGAAATTAAAATATAAAAATATAAGATTGATGTTGAAGGTGGAGAAAATAAATCGGAATTGGATAGGTATCTCGATGAAACTATCGAAAAAGAGGATAAAGAGTTCAATATTTTGACATAGTGGAAAACTAATTATGCTTAATTTCCTATTCTTTCTCAAATAGCTCCTGAAATTAATATATGTAGAAGCTCCCATTTATTTTATTCTAGTTAATGCATAAATTAGTACTTTTTTATTTGATGCTAATTATTGCATTAATTGGTACTTTTTGGGAATTGGAATATGGTAGAGGTAGAAACAAGCATGTATATGGCGGAAAAAAAAAAAAAACTTTAGGCATTCTGCTGCCTTTTTAACCATTTCTTTCTTTCTTTATTATTATTATTATTATTATTATTAGTTATAAGTTTTTAACCTATTTCTTTGGCATTTCAAGAGAACAATATCTGAACTTACCCATCATTCTCCGAGAAAAGCAACGAAACATGCACAACAACATAGATAAATGACATTGTTCATCCATAGTTGATAACAGCCACTCAATAGTGTTATCACAAGCTTAAAAGATAGCGATGAATGAAATGCTATTATAATAATGCACAATCTGCTATGTAAATAAGTACAAATCCAAGTTTAGTTTTCTAATTTGTGTTTACAATGAATGATGTAATATAATGAAACATACATTTCTATGTTTTGTTTGTTATTTTCTAAATTGTAATGAAGTAAACGATTGTAATGATTTCTTGTAACGTAGGAAGGAGCATCACATAAAAAAATGTAATGAATTATACATGATTAAGAGTAATCATATATATATAATTCAAACTAAAGTGTTTTTTTAGGAAGGTATAAGTTTTTTTTTAATAAAAAAATCATTTTCTAAATAAAATAAAATATAGAGAAAAAAATAAGAGAAAGTAAATTATAAAAAACTAAGCTAAATCATAGTATTTTAAAACTTCATTATGAGTTCGAAAATAATCAATTAACAAATATAACATAAATTAATTTAATAATTCAACTCAACAATCAGTATTAATATAAAAATAAACTTATAATAATATTTTTAATGAGTGATCAATAATTTTTTGAGCATTATATATATTTTTCCTTCCATGATAGATGAGTCCAGGTTACATTACAACATACAACCCATAGGCACCAAGGGAAGCCTATTAAAAGTCTAATTCTGTTAACAAAAAGCCCATAAAATGGGCCTGAAGTACTAAATAGAATCCGTTCTGAAAATCCGGCTCGAGGAAAGCCGTGAAATGCTTGTACCGACACGCAGCTAGTGAAGGAGCTTGATTAATAAAAAACTTACCTCATTTTTTTACCCAGTTTATGCAGCCGTGAAATGCATATAATTACTGTATATATCAATAATTACTTGTTATGTATCATAAAATTTCTCAGAAAATAATAATTATAAAAAAAAGGAAAAAGAAAAAAGAAAAAGAGAGAGTGATCCAAAGTTCAAAACGTTTCACAGGGCAGGGCCGCGGATCAGTTCAGCGTTTCATTATCTTATGGGTCCAACAAATTTCTGGCGCTAATAATTATTGCAGGTGGTCACATTTTGATTAGTTGCAAATTGCAATAGCAGGAGGAGTAAAATTGGCACAATGGTGCCCTTCAACTTCCAAACTAAAGGGTCCAAACACTCAGGAAAAAAAAAAAAAAAAAAAACTAACAAAAAAGTTGCAAACTTCCAGAGTAGATGGCGTTAAAATGTATGGAAGTCTTTTGTCCACCTAATGTGGATTTTTCTTGGTCCGGATTTGTTCTGAAGGAATAACGATCCATGTCATTTGTATGTGTTTGGAGTTCAGATTAGATAACATCATAGTAATTTAAAAACTTGGGACTTTAGGGTAAAGAGCAGCTGAAACAGGAAATGAAAACACAAATCATTCATCACCATATGCTTATTAATTTATATCTCTAGACTTTTTGTGATTTCAGAGCAAATGCATTTCTTGATTATAAAAAGAAAATGAGTTGAAGCCCTAAAATGTTGTTTAAATTAGTGTATATATCCCTGTATTTTTTAAGAAACTTATTAATTATAATGTTATATTAGTACTTTTTAACAATGTTTTTTTTTTGTTTAAAAAAAACCACTAATTTAATCCTACACTACAAAATAGAGATACTTTAAAAATATATAATATTAAAAAATTTGATAAGAGAATTATTTTGAGACAAATATAAATAAAGAAAATAATTTTTTGAACAGAGGAATGCAGTATATTGAATAAGATATAATTAAAAAGTCACCCACCATTAAAAGCCACATGAAAATATGGGAGGGGACTGGTAAATGATTAATTGGTGAGGCCTAGGCCTAGAACAGAAATGATCTCTGCGGCAAATCAACTTCGAAGATTTTCTCTGCCAATGAATCGGCAGCAATATTATATGAAGTAGCCCAGAAACAAATAAAACATAAAAATAACTAAAAACAATAAGTGAAGCAACTTAAATTATACTTTTAAAAGAATACTATCAATTATGGCTATAGTACAGAGTCAAACATTCATGCATGTGCTTGTAAAGAAAAGAATAAGCAACACAGCGTAGCAATTGGATACAACTCATTTGAACAGACAGAGCATTGAAAATTCTATCTTAAATTTACTGCCAAAGACAATAATGGTTTTGCAGTACCTTAAAACTATGTTTTATTTTTATTTTTAGTAAAAATTAGCCGATTGCCCGCGTTACACCACAGTGTCCGATAGAACAAAATTATTTTAAAATTTTAATTTTTTGAATTATAATATTTAATTTAATTAATTTTTTCTAATGTTTTTATAAATTCTTTGCTTAAAAAAATAAATCAAAATAAATCATTCTTCTCTATGAATTGATTTTAAAATTAAAAATTATAATATTTTCAACTAAAATATTAATCAAGAATTGAAAAAAACTTTAAAAATATAATTTTCACGAGTATTGTATTCTAAAAAATAGTTATAATTAATGGACAGATTTTGACAAAAATTAACAAATGAAAAGAATTCTCATTTAATGCTAATGAGAAAAAATATTTTTTAAAATTATCCGCGCAATGCTATTGGTAAATAGAATAAAATCCTTTCAAAATATAATATTTTTTATTTAATTATTACTATTTTTTTGTGTGTTTTTCATAAAATTTCTGCTTAAAAAGCATGATTTATTCTTCATTATTTAGGAATTCTTAAATAAAAACTTATAATAATTTAAACCTAAAAAATTAATTAAGAATTCAAAAGCAAATACTTTAAAATTATATATTTTTTTATAAGAATGAATTTAAAAAATAAAGTTACAATTAATGTATAGACTTGCATAAGAATTAACCAATGAAAAAATAAAATTTTATTCTTATTTAATATTGGTGAGAAGATTAATTTTTTTTTCAAGTATATGCATTTGATCTATATATATTTATTGATAAAATAATCTATAAAATTAGCATAAAAAACAGTATTTGAATAATTGGTTGGTTCCTTTAAAAAATTATTTTAATTATCTTATTTCGAATAAATTGATTTTATAATGTTAAAAAAATTATTTATACTAAATAATTTGTATTATGTTGGAAGATGTATAGTTCATTTTTAATAATGATTCAATAATTTTTTTTACATGTATTGACCATATCTAGTGAACTCGAGATAAATTATTTGAAATACACTTTTAGCCTTTTAGAATATATATATATATATATATATATATGCAACTATCATGTAAAAATTCTAAGAATTCATGATATATATGCACACCAATTTATTTTTTTAAAAAGAAAAAAAATCATGTTTAAAATTTTATTCTATAATTCAAATATAGAGAAAAATAAATTATATAATATCAGTAAATAAAATTTCATATAAAAAATATTAATTGGATGAGAATTTTGATAAAAAAAATGATAAATTCAAAGAATAAAATTTAAATAATAATAGTAATATAAGCTGAAGTATATGTTAATTTCAAAATATAAAAAGATATATTATATAATCATCAATTTGTGTGGAAAAAAAGTTATGATTGATTATGCAAAATTTAAACACCCAATTAAAAAAAGAACATAAATTGATGAAAAAAGCAAAGAAAAAATTGATTTTTTAAAATTTTAACATCCAATCAAATAAAAAAAAACATAAATTTATGAAAAAAAGTACAAAAAAAAAAAAAACCAAAGGAAAAAAAAAGGGCATGTGTAGTGCATCAATCAAGGAATTAAAATTTTTATTTTAAATTTTTAGGGGCTAAAATAAAATAAATTAAAAATTATAAAAAAATATTTATTATAGGAATAAAAATCAAATATAATAAAATATTAATCATCGAAAGAAAAACAAGTTATAAAACAGGGACTAATGCGAAAGTTAAGTTTACTAAAAATAAAAGGGAGCTTTAGGGGAAGAGAGAGAGAGAGAAAATGAATAGTGACTGATGAAATTCAAATATAGTAAATTTTAATGACAAAATTTTTTTTTTTTATAAAACAAGGACTAAAATGAAAGTGAAGTTTATTAAAATCAAAAGGAAGCTCTAGGCTGTGGCGGAAGAAGTGAAAAAAAGAAAAGAAAAAAAGAATGAATTATTTTTGTGGTTTTCTTTTAGTTTATTTTTTAATGTTATCAAAATAATTTTAAAAAACATACTTTTATGTCATATTAGAAAAATATCATCCATGGTTTAAAAAGGATAAATTCTTTTTAAATTTTTTTTTTATAAATTTACATCATAAAATAAATTCATCTAAAATAAATTATTAAACTAAAATAATTTTTTAAAAATAATTTTATATATTTTATTTAATTTCGTAGCATAGCATGTACAAAAAAAAAAAATTTAAATCTAAAAAATTAGAAAGGAACAGCAGTAACAAATGTATCAGCCTCTATGCGTTAAAGTAAACAAATTGCTTAGTACGTTCCTTGATGGGATAATAAATGGAAACTTTGACTTTATGCGTTTTCGAAGTTTTCCGTCATCATCAAATTGATGTGAAGGACAGTTTGTGAGAATTGATGTATAATGGCTTTTAAGGCCTCCTTTTAAAGTTTAATTTTTTAAATTGAAATAAATTTTTCAAATAATATTAAATATTTTTTATTACATAATCAGAAACTAATTCAAGTTTCATGACTTCATTCTCTAGTTTACTTGAACAGACGTAGCATAAAATATAAAAATTATTCACCACTCTCACTCCACAACTTAAAACTTTTAAACTAAAATGATTTCATAATATAGTATGAAAATTTTAGTTATTAGATAGTCATGAATTCAATTTTCATTATCTTTATTATTTTTATAATTAAAAAAATTAAAAATTTTAGTATAAATAAAGATATATTTTTGCAAGTTTTATATATAGAATGAATGCTACAGTTAATATAGAGTCATATTAAAATCTCATCTAATATCTTAAGTTTTTTGGTTGACATAATACGATTTTCTATTTTATATGAAATCAATTATTTAAAACTTACCTAATAACTTAAACTTATTTTTTACTAAATTGTGACTCAAATACAAGGCAACAATGTTTTATTTATTGGAAAAACTATAAGGCAATACAAAAATGTATTAAAAAGAAATAAACAACAACAAATGAAAAGAGAAGCAAAAGTTAATCATTATTTTTTTTTAATTCCGAACTATCACTTTTTTTTTTTTAAGTAAATGTTAACGCCTCTATTTAATGGTATAAATTAAGATAATAAGCAAAGATTTTGCAGATGACTTATATATTCTTCACTACAAATAGGTTACATAAGAGCATTTTTTCCTTATTTAAAAAAAAATAAGTTAAAGAAAAGAAAACTAATAGTAGAAAAAACAATGAACGTTTGAAGATAATAATAAAAAAAAAAAACAAAAGAAAGTGAAAAATTAACCCCACTCACCATGTTCAATGTGTAGCAAAATAATTAAGAACAGTTACAGTTAGAAAAATATCCTTCCCATAAAAATAGAAATGATATATATATTTTTTTCATAAAAACTCCTAAAAATAACAATCAATAAAAACTATGCACTAATTTTTATAAGCATAGTTAGAATTCGAACAATATCCTTCATATCATAATGTTAAGAAGTTCTATATATTTTTTTTTATCAAAAATAAAACAGCAAAAAAGATTTTCTTTTTAATATTCTAATAAACGTTTGGAATTTTTTTTTCAAAAATAATTTCTTAATTTTCCATTTTCATTAAAAATAATTTCAAGTATTTTTTGTAATGAAATTAAATATAATAAATACTAAAAATACAATTACAAAATAGATATTATTTAAGTATAATTAATGAGTATTTACTATTGAACGCTCTTGAAAAATCTCGAGAGAAAGAAAACTTGGTAAATCAATTGGATGTAAAACACTAATATCTTTATATTTTAAGATTATAAAATTTAAATGTCTTCTCCTACCGTAGTTGTTAGTATTATTCTTATAAAATTTGTGAATTATTTTATCTCAAAGAGTTCTTCTTCCAATAAATTTATTTATGTTTTTTGTTCATTCCATTGTCAAGATTATTCTTTAGTTAGCTTATGTATTAATTGAAATTAAGTTAAGTTGTTTTTTTTTTTTTTAAACAATCTTGAAAACGGTCCGATGCATTTAAATGAATAAATTTCTTTAAATGTTGGCTTTGAAATTTGAACTCAAAAAAATAAAGAAAGAAGTACATCTCCTTAACCACAATGCCAATTAATGAGAGTTAAAATCAACTTATATAGCATAAATAAATAAGGTATAAGATTTTGTAGTTTTGTTTTGTAGCATAATCATTAAAGTAATTACTAATCTTTTTATTTCACAGCATTTTTTTTAATTCCATGCGTGCGACAGGAACAAAAGTATATATGTAGACAAAAAAAAAAAAAAAAAATTACAGACTTTTTTAGCCAAATAAATATTTTTTAAAATATTAGGATGGTTTGTGAAAATGAACAATAAAAGTTTTATAAATCCTTACATCCGAAGAAATTATAGGTAATATAAGACTATTACCAATCATTTTAATATTAAAAATTAAATATGAAACTATTAATAACTCAAACTTTTAGGTCGAAATTATTTTTTAAAATTATAAGTAATATAAATTATAAGTAATATAAAACCATAACCAAGCATTTATAATATTAAAAAATTAACCATAAAACTATAAGCAACTCAAACTTTTAGGTTGAGATAAATATTTTTTTTTTAACATTATATCAGAAATTTGATTACCTTACGGTCATGAGTGAAATTCCTATAATTCTATTTTTCTAGTCAATTAGAAAATAGATAATGCCAGAGATACTTTTTAGTAAATTTCTTTACTAAGTGATATGACATCGTATAATTCGATTGATAACTCAATTTCATAATTATTATTATCTCATTAAATGTGATACTTAGGATCTTCATTTTATGGTTTGAAATTCTTTCTGTGTAATAGCAGACACATCATTTAGTAAGCAAAATTTAGTAAGAAAATTTAGTACCTCTAGCATTGTTTGAAAAAAAAAAAAATTAATTTAAGGTAGTGGTGGATCTATGTAATTTTTAAATTTAGGATTTCACTTAAAAGGGTGCTTTGGTGTTAATAAAAAACTTAGGTTAATAGTTAAATATATCTTTATATAATAATAATAAGATAATTCTCTAATGTATTGTTATTTTTTTGAATTGAATCAATTTTATCTTTAAATATACGTTAAATATTTAATTTATCTTTTTAAAAAGATTTTTAGGTTAAACTACCGTATTTTGTTGCATGATTTGCATATACACGTTTTCTATTTGACAAGTTTATAAGGATATTTTAAAAATAAAAATTAATCTTATGCAATTCACATAAATAATTTTAGTAGTTTAATCTGAAAATTTTTTTTTAAAAAAATGAATTGGAAACTGAATGGATATTCAAGAATAAAATTGATTTATTTAAAGATATAAGCAAAGATTGAGGAATTAACTAAAAAAGCATTTTATTTGTTGACAAATGACACCTCTCAACCAACTGTTGTTGGACACATGGCACCGGTTTCAATATTAAATCATCCCAGATGAAAGCTAGGGGAGGGAAGGTTGACATCTCGCGGGACATAGACAGGAGCAGCCAGTGGATTTCTCAGTGTCAATTAGTCAAAATAAGGATTTAATGTTTTAACAATATAAATAAAGATACAGATAAGCACCAAAAGAAAATAATGATAAAGATTCTGCAGGAGAAGCCATACTGGACTTACAATGCATTAAAGGAGGTATGAATTGGTGCTTGAGCTCTTTAATTTGTAGGTGGGATTTGGCATGTTGACTGTGTGACACGTGGCATATGGTTTATGCCATCTTATATTATGACTTTCAAATAGGTTGAGTGAGTGACGGAGTTTTCTTTTTTTTTTTTTTTTGATGAAATGGAGAGCATAGAATTAACTGTTACATATTCTTTGAAAGGCTATTCCCTATATATCCTTATGAAGCATTTTGGCACATTCAAGGAGGTTTTTGGATTAAAGGAAAAAATAGTAATAGTAGAAAGAAGACCAAGGGGTTGCTTTGCTTCCTTGCGAAAGTGGCTTGTGTGTTAAAGTCGCCACTGTGAAAAGAAAACTAATTACAATATTAATATTTAGTGGGATCAAATTTGGCTTTAAGGTCATAAAAAATGTTTGGGCTATTTTACTACAGGTGGCAAATGGTGGTCCTATGAGAAGATTGTCACAAGCGACATAGGAGCAAGACAACAGTTTGGGAAACAGGAAATGAAAAAAAAAAAAAAATTGTCGCCACCTTGTATTAAGTATTAAGGTTATTAGTAATCCATATGGCTGTTTTGCTCAAAGTTCTAAGTAAGAGATTGGTTACGTATAAGAAAGATTAAAAATTATTATATCTCGTCTTGCCTAAGGTAAGTCTGTATTACTTACAAACTCGACTTGATTTTTGATTTCTTATGATAAAAAATATGTGCCTAGTTTCTAAATATTTGCCAATTAGACAAGTGATTTGGGACTTGACCTATTAAAGGCCTTAACGTCGATCCGAGATGTAACAAGTCTAAATTCAAGACAACTAAATTGAAACTCACACAATAGACACGATAGAAGCATAAAAAAAAAAATGGCATAAATGATCCAAAAACGAGGCTCGAGCTGAAGCGACTTCAAGTTTCATAGTTTTTTAGGCAAATTGGCAAAATCATTGAAATTGACAAAAACAATTCAAAAATTGGATTCGGATTGACATGACTTCAAATGTATGGAAAATAAATTTGGCAAATAAAATAGGCATGTTAGGCAACATTAGTGATAATGGTTCGAATCGAGGTTGGGACCAACGTACTTCGTGACAAGGCAAAATCGGGGCAAGGGTGACGAATTTGGACGAAAATAGAAAAAATGAAAAAAAATAACTAGAGTTGCCACCTAGTATTATGGTTACTAGGAAACCCTATGACTAGTCTATTCGAGTTCGAATAAGGGGTTTGTTACGTGTAAGGAAGATTAAAAATCATCATACCTTGTCCCGCCTAAGGCAAGTCGTATTGCATATAATATTGATTTGATTTCTGATTTTTTTAATAATGAAAGTCTATACCTATTTTTCAAACATTTGCCCTATAATTGAGTGATTTGGGATTTGGCCGATTAGGGACTTTGTCCTCACTTTGTAATAAATTGCTAAAAATGAAACGACATGATGAATGCAAGAATATATGACCAATGCGACTTAAATGACGTGCTTGCAAACGAGGCTTAAAAGCAAGCAAATTGGCAAACGAGATAAAATAGACAATCAACAAAATAGACGTATAGGCAAAATGGGTATAATAGGCAAATAATGAAAAAAATAAGCAAATAGGCAAAATAAACAATCGAAAAATTAGTAAAATCGATAACTAATCAAATAGATAGCTAGGCAAGATAGACAAAATTGAAAAAATTGACAAATAGACAAACAAGTCAAAATTGATGAATAGACAAAAAGACAAATCGAAAAAATTAGAAAAATCATCAAATAAGCGAATAGGTAATTAAGCAAAATAGGCAAAATCGACAAACATGCAATTACACAAAATCGACAAATCAACAAAATCGACAAATAGGCAAAATAAGCAAAATCGACAAATTGACAAATTAGCAAAAAGATAAATCGATAAAATCAATAAAATTAGCAAATAGGCAATTAAGTAAAATAGGCAAATCAGCAAATAGGCAATTAAGAAAAATTAACAAATTGGCAAAATCAACAAAATCGATAAATAAGCAATTGAGAAAAATTGACAAATCGATAAAATTGACAAAATATAACAACAAATGTCAAAAATTGGTAAAGGCTATAAAAAAATAGTAAGAGTGACAAACTTGGCAAAATTGACAAAAATCATGGAAGTTGATGAAAACAATTTGAAAACAAGATTAAGATCGATCGAATTTCAAAAGTTATGATTTTCGAGTGAAATCAACAAACTTATTGAAATTGAGAAATACGAGCCTCAAACAAGATTCGCATTAACACGACCTCAAATATCGTATTTCTTGAACAAAATTGGCACAATATCAAATTAATAATCACAAATTGCAATGGAAAAAATGATCTAAGACGAGATTCAAATTAATACGGCTCAAAAGTCACATTTTTTAGGTGAATTGGCAACAACGTCAAAATTAATCATTATTTACCAAAAGTGACCAAAAATCGTTATTCGATTGGTACAACTCGAAATTGCATTTTTAGATAAAATTAGCACGTGAACAATTTAACGTTATCATTATCCAAAACGATCCAAAAATGAGGTTTGGACCAACGCAAGACATTACACAACAATAATCAAATATTTACATAATAATAAACACATCAATCAAACAATAGAAGCACAGCAACAATCATTACACAACCATACGGTGACTTAAAGTTATAAAATCATAGTAGTAATTTAATTAATTTATAGCCAAATCATACAAATTAAATTTAATACAAATAAACTAAAAGGATTTAAAAAATTTACTATGAAAAGGATGAATAAATTTGACGGTTGAATTGGGGTCGGTTTCGACCCTTTCAATGTCGATGGAGATTGATTATTCGATCAACTAGGAAGAGGGGTGATCGCCTATTGTCAAATCTAGATCGAACAACTATTGATGGAACAACTCGCTGGATTAGAGCTATTTTGATCTGTTGCACCGAGTTATTGTGATTGCTTGGATCGAACTAAACTAGGTCGAGTTGAATTGCATTGCTTGTAGGTGGATCGAGCTGGAGGGCTACTAATAACCAACTTAGGTAGTTAGAGACATCAAGACACTATTAGAACAAGTGGTAGTGACTATTGGACTTCGATGCGGGAGTTTGGGCTAGGCAATGACAAAAATATTCGACGACGATGGACCTAGATGGGCTTTGCATCGGGTGGCTACTAGTCGGGTTGGATTGAGCTATTGACTAGGCTTGGATCGGCTAGATCAATGGAGGAGGAAGAGCTATCGCAGTTGGAGGAGCTGGAAATGGAGAAGCGGTCGGTTTGGTTTATAGTTGGATTGGGCGGCGAGTTAAAGAAGCTAGACAACAATGGGATATTAGTCGAAGGATGGTTGGATCGAGTTGGAGATTCGATTGAAGGGATAACCAAAGTTTTTGGGAGGGTGCTTGGTTTGGTTTTCTAGAGAGAGGGGCTGATTGGATTTTGATTTTATGAGAGAGGTGAAGGATCATGCATATTATGGAGGTGTGGAATAAATAAAAAATTTTCTCCATCCAAAGGCTCAAGATCAAGTCTGTTGAATCTACTTACAAAAAATAGATGAATATTAAGCTATAACTAAAGGATTACCTCCTGTAGCACGAGATCTAAATTCCTTTTTCGGAAAACCCGTTCAAGTGTCCAAGCTCTATTGATGATCTATGCAATCCAAGTATTCGTAAAGAATCACTCAAAATTAATTGAGTGCTAGCTCTACCTTTTCGATTTAGTATTTCCTATAAAAATCAATTTTGGGCAATTTTACGACAACTTTAAAGGAGAAGAAAAGAGTATAGCTTGCTAGGGTTTAGGAGAAAACTATTTTCTCCTTAATTTTCTCTCTTGGTCGTGTGCCCTCTATTATTTTTAGGATCGACCAAAACTCTCTCTCTCTAAAATCCTTGTGCTAGCCTAATACACTCTAGGTTCCTTAGTCTCCTTTATGCCGTACCTCTCCTCTTATTAAAATTTTTTCTCCATCTAAGGGCCCAAGATCAAGTCGTTGAATCTACTTACGAAACATATATGACTATTAAGAAATAACTAAAGGATTACCTCTTGTAGCACGGATCTAAATTCTTTTTTCGGAAAAATTGTTCAAGTGTCCGGCCTCTATTGATGATCCACACAATCCAAGTATCCGTAAAAAAGCACTCAAAATTAATCGAGTGCTAGCTTTATCTTTTCGATTTAGTATTTCCTATAAAAATCAATTTTAGGCAATTTTACGACAACCTTAAAGGAGAAGAAAAAAGTATAGCTTGCTAGGGTTTAGGAGAAAACTATTTTCTCTTTAATTTTTCTCTTGGCCGTGTGCCTTTTATTATTTTTAGGGCTGCCCAAAACTCTCTCTCTCTAAAATCCTTGTGTTAGCCTAATACATTCTAGGTTCCTTAGTCTCCTTTATGCCGTACCTCTCCTCCTATTTATAGAGGGAGAGTTTCCTTGTCCTTCAAGGAAAAGAAGAGGGGCGACAATGAGTCCATAAAGGACTTTAGGTTGTTGCTTTCTTATCCTTAAAGGATGATGAGTTATTTTGCTCGTGATTTTTTTTTTTATCATTATCTTTAAAACATTCAACCTTATCCAATAAGGTTGATGTTTATTCTCTCACCAAAATATCTTAAGGGTTTTAATTAAACCTAATCGGCCAAAACTATTTTAGCCAAATTAATTTATTTGGACTATCTAAATAAATATTCTTAAATTATTTTGACGCGGTTCACATTGGGAAATAATTTCTCAAAAATATATTTTTAACCTAAATTAGGAAAATCCTTTCTTTTTAGGTTCTTTATTCCCAAATTTAAAACTAACTTTCAAATTAGGAAATTGATTTCTAAAATAGA